CAGCTGTCGAATCCTTCCATCAGGAAGATGTCCTCCTATCAGCAGCGCTCATGGTCCATGAGCTCGGGCACAACCTGGGGATTCAGCACGACCACTCGGCCTGCTTCTGTAAAGATAAGCCCTTTTGCCTCATGCACGAAAATTTCACTAAAGAGAGCAGATTCAGCAACTGCAGCTCTCACTACTTCCACCGGTTCCTTCAGGAACACAAGGGGGCCTGCCTGTTTAACAAGCCATGGCACAAAGGCCGCAAGCGAAGGGATTCCCGCTGCGGAAACGGTGTGGTGGAGGACACAGAGCAGTGCGACTGTGGTTCTGCCTGTCACCTTGATCCATGCTGTTTACGAACATGTAATCTGACAAAGAATGCAACGTGTAATCAAGGTCTCTGCTGCTTTAACTGTTTGTTCAGAAGGAAGGGGTTTGTATGTCGTCCCCCTCAGGATGAGTGTGACCTCCCAGAGTATTGTAATGGTAGTTTTGCAACATGCCCCACAGACAGCTACAAGCAAGATGGCACAGAATGTCAAAAAAGGAACTATTGCTTTGGGGGTCGCTGTAGGAGCAGGAAGAATCAATGTGCGGCTGTTTTTGGCTCAAATGCAAGGGATGCCCCAGATAAGTGTTACACATCTCTGAACAGAAAACCCAATAGGTTTGGAAACTGTGGTTTTGTCACATCTCGTCAAATAGGTTATATTAAGTGTCAAAAAGGTGATGTACGTTGTGGAAAACTCATATGTACAGATGTTTCCAATTTACCAGAAATCAAACCCCATCATACTATCACTCAGGTTTCTATAGATGATATATTCTGCTGGAGCATGGATGCTTTTCACGTTACTGATATCCCTGATGACGGAGATGTGGTTACTGGCACTTCATGTGCCCCAAGGAAAGTCTGCATGAATTATTCCTGCACTGATCACACTGTGTTTCATTATGACTGCGTACCAGAGCAAATGTGTAATGGGAAAGGAATTTGCAACAATTTGAAGCACTGCCACTGTGATGCTGGCTTTGCCCCTCCTAACTGTACAAAACCAGGCTATGGAGGTAGTGTGGACAGTGGTTTTGCTTACAATGAAGTTAAAAAACTCGCAATGCATATGGAACATCAGAGTCCACCAGTGCCTCCAATTCTTCTTTCATTAATATTATTGGCACTAATTCTTTGTCTTATCATTATTATTCTGAAAAATCCACGAGGGGCCCCAGCAGAGACTCTAGCAGAGGCCCCAGCTGAGGCGCTGGCAGAGACTCCAGTTGATGCCATGGCAGCAGCCCCACTGGAAAAACTGACAGAGTAACCAACGGAAGAGGGAAAGAAAGATGAGGGGAAAGATATGGAAAAGGAAGTGGAAGAAAACAAAATAGAAGAAGAAAATGTTTAGTTGAAGTAAAAGGCAAATGTATCAAACACTTTAAGCACCAAAGGAATGAGAAGCAAAGGTTAGATGAAAAAATGATAGGTCCAGTGGCTCTGACAACCTGGTATTTAGAAAGGTATCAGTGTCGTTGTAGAATGAAAGTTTTCCTACTTTCATAAAATATTTTAATACTTTTGTTATATGTACATGATTCAAAGAATATATTACATAATGTTATTTTATGATGGTGTTTCCTTCTTTCCACTTCATAAAACAATTTTATTCTAACTCTTCACCTATACCTGTGACACTAAAGTACTTGTCTTAGTAGGGCAAATTTTAAATTTCCCCAAAATTGTTTTCAAGATATGCCATGTTCCAGCTACACTGTTGACACATAGTACAATATGTATCTATTTATATTGTTCTCAGTGGACATTTCATCCAGATCAAAAGTACCCATTATATTATGACAAAAGTTTGTTTAATTGTTTTGATTGTCCTGTTAATGTACAGTGATTAAATGAAAGGAGTTTATAAATCAAAAGATAAATAAAAGTTTATTTTCAGATAAGGCATTTGTTAAGGCTTTGTGTGGCCTACTAGCTAGGAGTCCTTTTGTTTATAGCTTTGAGGAAGGGACATGCTCTAATTTGATCCTATGGGCTGATAACCTGGGCCAGGAGGTCACCTTGGAGGTCATTCAACCTCCAAATCCCACCAGATGGCTGCCAATCTGAGAATTCAGTTTATTAATTACTAGTGTCTTCAGGTCTTTCCTACTACAATAACTTCCTATTATCTAGGGAATCTTTCACTGATCTTCCTTCTTATTAATCTTCCTGGAAAAAATATCAGACTGTCAGACATCTCATGACTAATAAACAACACCCAGAGTTAGTGATATTTATAGTAATTTTGTAACAGTATAAAGCTGCCTACTGCAGTGCTGAACATTTATGAAATTAAAATATTTTCTATTTTCCATCTTGAATCTATTTACATTAATAACTTGTTGACTGACAACCAGAAGGAACCTCTGTAGTACAGATAACAGAGGTCTAGAGGGTGGTAGTTAGTTCTTTGGGAGGGAGCACAAAGCAAATATAATATTAATATTATTCATTCTATGCCAGGTACTATGTTAAAGACTTTACATTCATTGTTTTAATTTAATCCTCCTAGCTTCCTGATGAATCCTCCATCTAGTACTTAGGGATTCAGAGGCTAAAGAGTTCTCTCCAGAGTTAGCTAGTAAATGGTGAAACTGCGTCTCTCCCATGAATGACTGAATCTATTTTCTTCACTGCCTTGAGAACATTTCTTCATCAAAATTAAAACAAAAAAAAAGTGAAGACAAACACATTTGATATTTCCTTATATGCCCAGAACATACCTTCTTCCACTGCAACTCTAATAAAACAAAAGTCTTCAAAATGGATACTGACTTCTATCCTGGGCCAACCCCATGTGTAGTCATTATGGATTAAAGTTTTTGCTACTACATCCTGACAGAATAGAGAGGCAAATTGGCATCATGATTCAGCCTTGTGGGCCCAGCTCATTGTAGATGCTCAATAAATGCTGACCAACGGAATGATTTAACCAAATCCAACCTTAAAAAATAAGGTAAGTACCTGGGTGCATTGGCTCAAGCCTGTAATCCCAGTACTTTGGAGGCTGAGGTGAGGGGATAGCCTGAGCCCATGGGTTTGAAGACAGCCTGGGCAACTTGGTAAGACTTGATCTCTACAATAAATCAAAAAATTAGCCAGGCATGGTAGCGCATGCCTGTAGTTCCAGCTACTTGGAAGGTTGAGGTAGAAGGATCGCCTGAGCCCAGCAGGTTGACACTGGGGTGGCCGTGACTGTGCCACTGCACTCCAGCCTGGGTGACAGAGTGAGACTCCACTTAAAAAAAAAAAAAAAAAATAGGGTAAGAGTAATGCCTTGGGTAGGATGCTATTTGCCAGCCTGTAGTCCCTGCATAACTAAAATTCTGTTCAGATCAATACTAGTAATCTTATAAACCTCATGAAGTAGGTTGTGAAATGTTTAAAACCTGCAACACAAGCCAAAGAAGGCTGAAGCCCAATAAGATAGACTATGGTAAGGCAGGGGCCCCTCTGCAAAAGCAGAAGTACAGAGGCAAAAATCAGGAAAAAGAAAAATAGGTTACTTCTTATTCTTATATAAGTTACTTCACTTTTTTATAAGTTACGCTACTTCTTGTTTTCATGTTACTTCTCATTTCCTTATATTACATAAGTTACTTCCCTAATTCTTTGTGCTACTCTTCACAGGGTTTTCACTTTGGCAAACAACATGTTTACACTTTTGGTGGAATCCAATCAGGATAGTAATCTTGTAATTCAATCAGTAAATAGGGCACACAAATAAAATAATTATGTAAAACCAATCAGTGTATAACATGTAATGCTAACTGCAGCCTCGAGCTACAAAATGTCCAATCAAATAAATAATGCCAAACTGTAACCTTAGAAGAGAGACAAAGAGGTTATAATGCAAAAAAAATAGTATATAAAGCAGTGCCTTACTGAGTCAGCCTTTGGATGCGAATCCACTGAGCTGGTGCCAGCATGAATAAATGCTGCTTTCTGGCAAGACACCTCGGTGTCCCATCTCTGTGGCCAGTTTCCACTACATTTCTGGAGCATGGGCTGGGAAACGAGAGGAGGAGATGGTGTTTCCACCCCCCTTGTCACCAGGTTACGATCCCCAGGACGTCAGAAGAGATGACCTCCCCTGGTGCCAGCAGACCAGACTAGCCCTCCCAGCATGCTGGGTTAAGGACCCCAGGAGCACAAAGGAACCTGGTGAGGCCCTGGAATCAGTCAGGGGAGTGTCGCTCATCAGATTGGTAAGAACCCAGATTTGATTTGACCCTGAGAGGCAGAAGGGGAGCCTGATCACCTCCCAGAGTTGCTGGAGTAGTTCCACAGGGGGATGAAACTGTAACTCCAAGGTACTGGGCAGTGGGTTGGAGACGTCGTGTGAATGCGAGTGAACAAGACATCATCTAGAGGTGAAGTGAATGCAGTAGCCCTGATTTGGTTCCGTTGGTGACCTTCACAAGGCTAAATGGCGGGAGTAGATTCAAGGGCCCGTAGTGACCTTCATACGGCTAAACGGCGGGAATAAGTCCTGTAGTGGGACTGAAACCTAGTCTGGAGGTTATACCGACTTGCCTATTGCCAAGAAGGCACCTGAAATATCTCCACAAGGGGTATGGCACCCTGGGTCGAAACCTGGTCAGGGGTTTATACTGACTCACCTATTGCCAGAAGGCACCTGAAATATCCCCATGAGGGGTACGGTTCTTACTCCCCCATTGCTTCCCATCTTGTGTATGACTGCCATCTTTTAGTTGGTGGAAAACAGAGCACGCTTACCCCCTTACAGTGTATGGTAAAGAATTTCAAAAGGGGATATTCAGAGGATTATGGGATCAAGTTAACTTCCATAAAACTTTGGACACTCTGTAAAGTAGATTGGCCATTGTTTGGCATGGGCTGGCTCTCTGAGGGGTCACTAGACAAAGAACTAGTTAGTAGGGAGTTTAGGGTTATTGTAGGGGATCCAAGCCACCCTGATCAGTTTCCCTACACAGACTGTTGGCAAGATGTAGTTCTGTCCTGACCATCTTGGGTAAAGGTCTGTCTGTTTAAATATATATATATATATATATATGCTGGCCCGAGCAATGGCTCCTCAAAATGCCAACCAGAAACTAGAAAGCCTATTCTGGCTGAGGAACCTGAGGAAAACCTTTGCCTTATGTGCCATTATACCCCTCTTTGCCATCTGTACCCCCTGCAGTTGGCACGGCTAGAACTGAGCCAGAGGTTAATCTCAGCCCAGGATCCACCCCTTCCCTTTGGTCACCTGAAATGCCCCAGGCAACAGCTACTCCAGAACTGCCAGTGTTAACTCCATATGCCCCAACAGAAAGGCACCAGGAAAACCTTACTAATAGCCCCACTCCCCGCAGATGTCAGGAGGCTTTACAATTGCCGCCAAGGGAAACAAGAGGGCCCCTTTACTACAGCCCAGCTGGCCAAATTCAAGGGGAACAACGTACCTTTGTATATCAGCCCTTTACTACCACTGACCTCCTGAACTGGAAATACCATACTCCTTCATATACTGAGAGGACTCAGGCCATGATTGATCTGATGCAGTCTATTGTTGAGACCCATAAGCCCACTTGGTCTGATTGCCAGCAGCTTCTCCTGACCCTATTTAACACTGAGGAACGCTGCTGAATTACTCAGGGCACTTTGAAATGGTTAGAGGAGCACCTCCTGATGGAGCAATAAATGCTCAGGCCTATGCTCAGAATCAGTTCCCCAGAAAAGACCCCCAATGGGACCCTAATGATGGTCAGGATTTCAAATGCTTGAGCACTATCAAGAAGCCCTTTTGAGTGGTATGAGGAAATGAAGAAAAAAGGCCATGAATATGAGCAAAATCTCCGAGGTGCTCCAGGGCCCTGAGAGGCTATGTGAGGCATTTCGCCTCTATACTTCCTTCAACCCCAAAGAAGCCAAAAATCAGTGAATGATTAATGTGATTCTTGTCAGCCAGGCTCAAGGAGACATCTGGCACAGATCACAAAAGTTGGAGGGTTTTGCTAGGGTGAATGCTAGCCAGTTAATAGAGGTTGCGACAAAAGTGCTTGTCAACTGCAACCAAGAGGCCCAAAGAGAAGAAGACTGAAAGATGAAAAAGAAAGCAGACCTGCTTGCCCAGAGCAACAAACCCAGAGAACTGTCCTGTCAGGATGAAGCTGAGGTTGAGGCCGGGGACAAGGCCAGCAGGGAGGCCAGCAGAATGGTCACCTCACCCAATGATAAGATTAGGGAGAAACCAGTGTGCTCACTGTTTCTGAGAAGGGCACTGAAAAAATGAATGTCCAG